CACTTGAAAATAATTAATTGAGAATTAATTATTATTTGAATAATGTGATTATTTAAATTTGAATTTGAACATATCTAGATTTATCCATTTAAACTTATTTGATAAGTTGTTCAATTTAGAATTCAAATTAATTTAAGTTTGACTTAAATTCGAATTTGAATCTGAATTAAAATTGGACTACTGGATAAAGGATAAAATCTCTTCCTTCCCTATTTGAGATTGGCGCCACACACACAGGGATAAATCCCTAGGGTGGCCGGCCACTTAAAGGATAAGGGGAAGGAATTTTTTGTTCCAAATTCAAAATTGGAGATAAGGATTTGATTCTATTTTGAAGTTTGACTTCTACTCTTTAAATATGAGAAAGATAGAAAATTATAGACAATTTTTAAAACATATTTTCAGCCCTAAAAGAGGTGTGGCCGAAATTCTCATAGAGTGAAAAATAGAGAGCAAAATTTTTCTCCAAAAATTCCACATCGTGCATGCGTTGGTGTTTGTGGAAATTCGAGTGTTTAAGAAACCTGTTTTGTCTCACGTGTGCTCACACACACGTCTACGTGGAATCAAGGAATTGACGTGGAAGACTTTGGTATTCTAAACACAAAGCTTGGAGTAAGGACTGTTCGTGGTCAAAGAAATTCAAGTTATCATCCGAGTCAGCTTCCAGGTATTTTTTCGGTTGATCTTGAATGATGTAAATTAATGTGATTAATTTATTCGTGCATAAATTAATATAATCTATAGAGTATGTCAAAAGTTTTATGAAAATTTTTGTTATACACGATCCGCTGTTTTTCATCCCCACGCTTCCGCACTCGAATTCGATTTGGGAACCAGCAGGTACAACCCCTGGTCAGCCCCGGGGCAGCCCCAGTACAGCCCCGGGACAGTTCCTGTACAGCCCCGGGAAAGTCCCGGTACAGCCCCGGGACTGCCCCGGGACAGGCCCGGGACAGCCCCGGTAAAGCCCCGGGGCAGCCCCGGTATAGCCCCGTGGCAACCCCGGAGCAGTCCCAGTACAGCCCCGTGACAGCAATGGTACAGCCCTGGGTCAACCCCGGGTCAACCCCGGGGCAGCCCCGGAGCAGCCCCGGAGCGGCCCCGGGACAGCCCCGGTACAACGCCGGGACAGCCCCAGGACAGCCCCGGGGTAGCCCCGGGACAGCCCCAGTACAGCCCCGGGAAAGCCCCGGAGTAGCCCCGGGACAGCCCCGGGAAAGCCCCGGTACAGCCCCGGGGCAGCCCAGGAAAGCCATGGGGCAGCCCCGGAACATCCCCGAGACAGCCCCGAGGCAGCCCCCGGGAAACCCCCGGG